ATCCCCCTGAGTGACCCTTGTGCTACTACTTCAGTCACTGTTCTTGCCTGGGGAAGGGAGTGTGGAGGCCTGGGGCAGGACAGGTCAGGAGTGTCTCACTTCTGAGGCTGCTTCTTGGGTGAGCAGGAGACAGCCGAAAGGGGAGGAGACCTGGTATCCTGTCTCAAGGGCCTACCATTGAGTCTGCTCAGTGAGGCTGGAGGAGCACTGAACAGGGAGTCACAAATCTAAGGACCAAAGCTAGGTTCTTCACCAACCTCCTGGAGGAGATCCTGGACCCTTCGGGTCATCCTAGGCTGCTCATTATGTTAGGAAATTTGGGTCAGAGAAGGGCTTTGCTCATAAGCCATCTCTGCTGCTCTTACCAAGTGTCTTACCACTGAGTTATAACAGCCCTTCCTTGGCATTGCTGATGCGAGAGCCAGGACAGGTGGGAATACTGTGTACCCTTTGGTGTGGCCAAGTGCTAGGCTTCAAAAGGGCAAAGCTAGCACCAGCCTGTGCTTGTGGAGGCTTGCCAGGAGGCCAGCCAAGGTTCCAGGTGACACTGCATTTAAGAACCTGTTCCATGAGGTCTGCTGGTTAGCAGCTCATGGCTGTGAGGCTCCTTCTAGTAGGGACCCCTCAGAGTCTGTGCTTGCTCAGTGCTAGTCTATCACAGTACTTTTGCCATTTTATCTGCAGATGCACACAGGTGGGGTGGGGAGACTGCTCAGAACCCCAGGGCCATTATTCGTTTCTCCAGATGGATTTCCCTGCATGTCTATTTTCCCACAGGTCTCTCTGCTTCACAGTAATAACACCATAGCATAAGGACCACCAGTAATTTGGACTTCAGCAAGGAAAGGTCCTGGCCACAGGGAATAGGGAATAGGGATTCATGCATGGGCTTCTGGAGGGTCTCTGTGGGGAAGGAAGGCATCTTCTCCTCCTCTCAAGTCCTTGTCTTTCTGGATGTCTTCCCTTCATTTGCTATCTCTTTAGAGAGGGTCTTCACATCTGAGGGCTGGGGTCTACTTTGCATCTTCCTCTTAAAAAGCTGTGCAACCTTGATTGAGCTGGTCACTGTGTATCTCTGGACTGTAGTGCACCCTTCTGTAATCCCAGAGGGATTTGCTGGGAGCCAGCACAATACAGAGCCAGTCTTAACACTAGGATGCTGAAGGGCATGATTAGCTGACCCCTTCACCCATCCCCATCATACTTAGCCATATTTTATTGAACTGAATTGAGGAGTCTCAATGAGTGGCTTTTGGGAAGTTCCCTGGGTGAGTCAGGAAAAGTCTCTTCCCCTCTCCTGCATGTCCTGGCTTCTTTCAGGGTTCTGCACAGACTCAGAAGCAAGGAATTTTGTTGATTTAAAAGTTGAGACAGTTCCAGGGTGCCCCAGGGTTGAGGAATTTCTAGTGGGCAGAGTTATCTTCCCTTTTAAATTCTGATTCCAAAGAAGGGAAAGTTAAGTATAGAGAGATGTGTATATGATTAATGGTCACTTGAAACTGAAGGAAAATAATCATCTCTGCATTAGGAAGGAAGGTTCCTATAGTAACACACACAAAAGCAAAATTCTAGAACAACACAGAAGATGGGGGGGAGGAACTCAAGAGAGTTTGCATTTCTGTACATAAAAAAGGGAAAAATCATGGAAAGAAAATGCCAACAAAAACAAAATAATAGGAAAAATGACATAAATGTCCCCACCCTCTTCCCTTGCCAACTAAACAAGAAATGGAATCACAATATTACCACGTTTCAAATGGGAGGCTAAAAAACAAACAAAAACATAGACGGGGTTAAAAAAATGTTGAGCTTTTCTTTTCTTTTTCATTTGTTTCTTTCTCTCTCTTTTTCTTTTTAAAGGTAGCATCCACCCCCAATTCTTTTGCCCAGACATTTTTTTTGTTAATGGCCAAGCCTGTGACACCCCAGTCCCCTCCTCACCTCTCTAGATATGAGAAATCAATCTGATTTAATTCTTCAAAAATCTTTTTTTTTTGCCAGTCTGAGCACTGTCCCTGAGCTTCTTTTTGCTCAAGGCTAGCACTCTACCACTTGAGCCACAGCACCACTTCCAGCCTTTTCTGTTTATGTGGTGCTTAGGAATCAAACCCAGGGCTGCATACATGCTAGGCAAGCACTCTACCACTGAGCCATATTCCCAGCCCCTCTTCAAATATCTTTTTCAGGCAAAGAAGAGGATCTGAGTGCATCTTAGTGACTCAACATGTTCAAGGCCCAAGACATCCCAGGGCCTGAGGGTTTGGCATAGGATTTACATTTGTAGGCAGGTTCCATTTTGGGAAGAAGACACAATAAAGGTGCTACGGAGGTTCCTTACCCCGAGGAGGCCAGATGCTAGGTGCTTTTCCCCAACTGATTCTCATCACCAATCTATCTAGATGTCTTTGCTGTTTTTGTCTGATCCTTGCTACACTGAGGGGACAGAAAGGAACCTACTTTCAGGCCTGGCTTGAGAGAACCTGTGATTCTGGGTCCCTCTGGAGGCCCTAGAAAGGCGTGACACTCAGGAGAAGATGTTCGCAGCATCCAGCTTAGGGCTCTGCGTTCAGGCAGGCAGAGGGTGGCCACACTCTTTGGGGTTGGCCTGTGGGTTCTCTTCCATTCCCAAGACAGACCCAGGGACATCAGTGTGATCCTCCCCAAATGGCCAACCACACAACAACCCCCCGCAGCCACCCCAGTAACCTGGCACCCTTTCTAGATGGGAGGATATAGAGACAGATCATGCCCTACGAAAAACTCGAGACCAAGAAGCCTCTTGTCAGCTGCCCTGGACTTTCCTCTCTCAGGCCAGGAGTAAGGGTATTTCAGAAAAGAAAGGGAATAAAGGAAATAGCCAAAAAATAAAAATGAAACTGACCAACACATACATGTCTGCTGGTGAGGCCTGGCCTCAGGAGTGGCAGCTCCCCTGCTCCTGGCTAATGGTTCTGGGGACAGTCTGCAGGACTCCCCATCCCACTCCCAAGCTCATCCAGTGCCCTGGTGCACGGCAGCTCTCTCTCTCTGATGGGCCTCGACCCCATACGTCATGACCAACAGACAAAAAGGGTCTGAACCCCCAGCCGCATGGGGAAAGGCTGCTTTATCACCACCACTGCCTCTGTCTGCAGGTCTGGAGGCTAATGTGTCCCCCTGGGGTTTTGAAGACGATGGAGGTGTGGAGCTCCTGAATGAGGGCGCTGGGAGGCAAGTTGGGGGGGGCAGGCTTTGGGAAGTGGCCGAGGTGGGGGGCACCGTCCAGGTGTGGGCAGTGCCTCAGGGCTGAGAGACAGGGAGGGGAAAGGCTTCGAGAGGGGTGAGGGCTGTGTGTGTGTTGGGGGTGAGGTGCTGAGGGCCTACGTGGCTGCTCGCCTCCAGCTCCTGTCTGCCCATCCTAGCGACGTCCACACCCAGACCCCCCCAGTTCCCCTGGGGGAAGCAGGCGGCCTCGGTTCCTCCCCAACTATGGGTCCCCCCACCCCGTCGGCCGCCCTCCACTCTTCACTTCTTCACCAAGCGCGAGGGTGGGCCAAGTCTGCAGCACCCCTCACCCTGCCGCAAAAACTAGGGGACCCCCACGACCGACCAGGGACTATTGCAGCCACCGACGCCCTCCTCGGGTGGGCGGAGGCTGAAGCCCCGCCCCCACGACGCAAAGGCCCCGCCCAGTGATGTAAGAACCACACCCACACGCTCTGCCCCGCCCCGTGACGCGCCCGAGGCCCCGCCCCTCCCCGTCCCCGCTCGCACGCGCGGCGCCCACCGGCGCGGACCCTCTGCGAAGCCGAGCGCGGCGTACGTACATCGGGCGGACTGTGCGCCGAGTCCGGGCGGTCGCCGTGCGCTCCGCTTCGCTGCCTGCCGCCGCCGTTCTGCTGCGGCGATGCCCATCCGCTGCCGCCCGACGGGGAAGGCGACCGGCTCCCGCTAGACCGCTGGCTGCCCGTCCTCCGCGCGTAGCCTCGGTGTTTGGGGCTCAGCCTGGGGTGGGGCGGAGGGGCGCCGGCGTGGGACGCCCCTCCGCAGACCGCCCCGTCCCCCACTGCCCGGCAGCCCCGGGCCGGCCCGCCCAGACCTCCACGGGGCTTCCTCTGCGAGCTCCCCACCCCAAAACAGCACAGCGATCGAAGCCCAGCCGGGGCACCCCGGGCCCTCCGGGGGGCCCATCCTACCTGCCCGGCGATCCGGAGTCAGTGCAGGGAGAGGACCCCGAGGGGCTGTGGGAGCTGCCGCTGCTGCGCCGGTGGAGTCTCCGGCCCGGGGACTGTGGGTGAGGCCTGGCGGGAGCAGGGGGAGTCAGCCTGAACATAAGCTCTGCTCACCTGGCTCTGGGGTTGCCCAACCTGCCCGCGGGCATCCAGTGCAGGCCTGTGTCTCCTACAAAAATCATCTGAGCAGGGCCAAGGCCAGGGCAGCACCTGGGTCCCTAGGCCTGGTGAGAGTTTGGAAAAGGGCTTTCTCTTCAGACAATCCCAGCTTCCAAAAACATGCTCACCTCTCACCTGCTGCTCTCCTGACAGGTGTGGGAGTGGGGTGGGGGTGGGGGGAGAGGATGTGGCTGGGAGTCACAAAGACCCCAACTATAAAGAGCCCCAGACTAAGAGAGAGGTAAGGGTCCTGAGTTCCAATTCTAGCTCTGCCACTGGTTCACAGAAGCTTCTGGCTTCCTATCCAGGTCTTAACGCTTACTCTGGGCAAATATTTTTTGTGTGTGTGCCAGTACTGGGGCTTGAACTCAGAGCCTAAGCTCTGTCACTTAGCTTTTTCGCTCAAGGTTGGAGCTCTGCCACAGCTCTGATTCTGGCTTTTTGGTGGTTAATTGGAGTTAAGAGTCTCATGGACTTCCCTGTCTTGGCTGGCTTTGAACCATGATCCTCAGATCTTAGCCTCTAGAGGAGCTAGGATTACAGGTATGAGCCAACTGTACCTGGATTTTTTTTTCTTTTCTTTTCTTTTTTTTTTTTTTTTTAACGATAAGGTCTCACTATTTGCCCAGGCTGGCCTGGAACTCTCCATCCTCTTTCTTCAAGTGTTGAAATTACAGATGTGGTCCACTATGCTCATCCTAGGGAGTTGTGTCTAAAGGCCTCATTCTGGGATGCTAAAAGGCCAGGTTTGCAGGGAGGAGATGGGGTAGGAGAGTGCTCACCTCTTTCTCTCTTTGTTCTTTTCTTTTCTTTTGCTCTTGGGACTTCGAGATCTACGGAAGCAGAGACCAAGTCTGATTAGGGCTGGGTGGATAGGGCCTTGGCACCCAGGAGCCATGCTGTGTCCAATGTATGGACCTGACATTTGTTCTTTCAGGCCTAAGCCCTCTGATTGGCAGGCATCTGCCCATCCCTCCCTGTCGAAGAGGGAGGGATTTGCAGGTTGAGCAGCCTAAGTCCTAAGCTCTGGCCAGATAGGAAGATGACTGGCCCTTACCTATGACATCAGTATTGCGACAGACTCCTGTGTGTCCTGGGCCTCCTTCTCTCACACTGACCAACCCAGGGCCAGCTCACCATGGATTTAGGGAAGAAATGTGTTCTTTCTTGGTTTTGTTTTTGTTATTTTGTTGGTAATAGAGATTGAACTCAAGGCTTCCAGCTTCCTAGACAGGCACTCTAAGGCACTCTACCACTTGAATCATGCCTCCAATTCTTGAGTCATTTTTCAGATAGGGTCTAATACTTTTTCTCAGGTTGACTTGAGGCCTAGATCCTCCTACCTACTACTTCCTCAGCAGCTGGGATTACAGATATGTGCCACCATACCCAGTCCTATCTCCCTGCTTTTAAGTGATTCTTCTGTATACATGTCTGGGGCTGCCCCTCTTCCCTTACATCTGTCTGGGGGCAGATTCCAAAGCCTCACTCTTTCTGCCTTTGACAGAAGGATGGTGAAGCTTCTGATTAGGCCTCAAGAGCCCCCCCCTTCCCTAACCCTCTCACTAGGCCCTGGTCCCACCAGATTTCTTTACTCCTTCTGAGCCAAAATAAGAAATTCAAAGATGCACTGACATGTTCTTTTTACTGGAGCAGAATGTGTGGGGCAGGCCTGAAAGGCTGAGGGTGTGGGCTCTAAAACTGGCAGCCTTTTTCTGGGGTTCCCCAAAAGGCTGTTCGAGCTCCGGCCCTTTCTGGCAGAGGCTCTGTGCAAGCAGATGGCCACCACTGGGGGGCAGTAGAGACCCACATCAACTCAGACACTGGATTGGGGAGGGGGGGAGAAGGGGATGATCTAAACTGAGGAGACTGGAAGGCAAGATTAGGTGTTCAGTCTCTGCTTCTACCTAGCAGGTGGCCTCTAACAAATTCTCATTACGGGGAAGGGGCTTTGGACTCTGCCCCTCTTCAGGGCTAATGGGAGGTGGACTAGAGGGTCCAGCTCCAAAGCTGTTCCTGAGAATGTGATTGGTCCATGACTGTCTCCCATGCTGGGCTTTCTACTCTGGAAGCATCCATCTGCTCCACTCTGCCTTGGTGTCTTCCCTCTCCTCTACCTCCGTCTTTCTTTCCTCCTGCTCCTCCTTCCTCTGGTATGGGGCTTGAACTCAGGGTCTTGAGCTCTGGCTTAGTTTTTTTTTTTTTTTTTGTTCAAGGCTGATTCTCTACCACTTGATCCACACCTCCACTTAGAAATAAAATAAATGAGAAATTAAATTAGAAATAAGGGTCTCAGATTTGTCTGCCCCACGCTGGCTTTGAGCCAGGATCCTGAGATCTCAGCCTCCTAAGTAGCTTAGAATTAGGCATGAACCACTGGGGCCCAGATCCCAAAGAGTTCTGAATAAGTCACAGTCCTGCTTGGGGCCTCTTGTGGTCTAGCCCAACTTGGGTGAAGGCCAGCTCCAGGCCTGGCCATCAGGCATGTTGGGGTCTGGCACCTACCTCCAGGAACTCCATCACTAACTGTAGTCTGCTGGCCCTGTCTCCTACCCAGTGAGACTCAGCTCTGGGAGGCCCTGTCTAGCATGTCCCTTTCTCTGATAATTCAAGGCCCTTCTGTCTGGGAAAAGGGCACCCCCACAGCCACCCCCAGACAGTGCACTAGAAGTTGTCTAGAAGTTCTTAGGGCCACCTAAGACTCCTGGGGCAAGGCAGCGTTTATAAACATGGTGTGTGAAGCTCTACTTCCCCCACCTGGAACGGAGACTCCACCCTCTCCATCATCAGCCTCCCCCTGCTCTGCAAGCTCCACTTACCTGTGCCGTCTTTTCCTCCGAGACCCAGAATCAGACCTGGAGGGTGAGAAAGAGGCCTGAGCCTGCCTGGGGTGGCCTGGCGGGGTGGGGTGGAGGTCACTGATGGGCACAGCCCAGGACCTAGGCCCAGGGTGCGGAGAGGAGGTGGCAGGGCAGGAGGGGGAGGGAGGAGGGAATACCTGTCTCTGCGGTGCTTCTTCATGCTCTTCTTCTTCTTGCGCAGGGGTGAGGTGCTCCCACAGCTGCGGGCACAGGGGTAGCTCTTGTGAGCTAGCAGGGCAGCTGGGAATCCCTGACATGGAAGTTGGGAGGGGCTCCTGCCTCCCCCATTGTATGGGTGACCTGAGGCCATAGGTGAGACTGGCAGGGAGTGGTTGATGGTACTGCCCATGTTGCCCCTTGGCACCTTTCCCGAGCCCCTTGGCATCATGAGCCATGGTGGTTTCAAACCTGAAGGTTAGAGGCCCTAGTGGTGGGATTTCTGGTCTTGGTAAGCAAGAGCTGGGCCCCTGTCTGTGTCTAGAGTCGATGCCCTGGGGTGCCCAGGTCTCTTGCTCCTGGAGGTGGCCCTGGCACCCTGCCACGCACTGCCACCCTCTCCCAGGGCCCCAACATGCCCTGCCACCCTCCTCACTGACCTGCACTCCGACTCTAGTCTCTTCTTTTTGCTGAGAATGGATGCCAGGGAGGAAGGACAGAAGGACAGGGTTAGTCGGGGTTCTAGAAGGCACACTGGGACTGGGAATGGAGGAAGTTGAGATGGGGTAGGTGCGGATGGGGCCCAGTGAACACCACCCTCGGGGAAGAGGGCACTGTCGGTGGTCCCTGGAGGGCTTGCGGTGGGGAGGGGGAATCGACCTTGGTGGAGAGGGGCTGGGCTGGGGCTGGGAGGCTCGGGCCTGTCTCACCGGCTTCTCCGGTGGCCGCCCTTCTTCCTCTTCTTCTTCTTGGGTGGGGGCGAGGTGGAGCTGCTGGACCAGTGCTTGGTCCTGGGGAGAAGGGTTTGGGGTGAGCGGGCATGGCCCACTCTGCCCGCCCCACCCCTGGCCGCGGCAGCCGCTCACCTGTACCCCCGGTGCCCGCGGTAGCAAGCGGCCGGGCAGCCGCAGTCCTCGGGGCCCTCGTCCTCCTCTTCGAAGGCCTCGTACCCCAGGCTGGGCTCGGCGCCTTCGGCCAGCCGCGGGGTCTCCGCCAAGCTGCCAGCGACAGGGACGCTGACCACCCGGCACCCTGGGCCGCCCTGCACCCAGAGACCTGCAGGGGGAGCTCTGGGGGGCCGGGAGGGAGCGGGGATCTGCGGGACAGTGCCCACACAGCCCCCAACCTTCTGCGGGGGAGGGGATGTTTTGCAAAAGGTAAGAAGGAGCACCCACACAGCCATCTTGGCCTTCACCCTTGGGACTCCTCCTGACTCCCCTCCCTGCCCTCCATCCCCTTCTGAGCCCTCCCAGAGCCCCGATTCTGACCCCTGCATCCCTAGGTCCCGCTGCCCTTCCTGTCCCCCTTCCCATCGCTAATCCCTTGTCTCAAAGAGCCTCTTTCCCCTGCCTTAGGGCCCCCAGCTTCACCCTTGTTCCCCATTTTGTCCTCTTCCACTCCTTCCCTCTGGTTCTCAGCCTCTGAAATATTCATAGCTTCTCCCCTCCTCACCCTGCCCTCCCTTCTGCAGCCCGCGGCTCCTTTCCTGATGCCAGCTGCCTCCATCAGTCACGCTGGTGGCAGGGGGTGCAGGAGGGTGTGGCCCCTCCGCATCCATCTCTGAGCTTCCAGTGTTCTCCGCAGGGACCCCCACCTCCTGCCCTGTACCTCCTGGCCAGCCTCTGTCATGGCTGTCTGTCCCAGTGGCTCTTCTTGGTTGCTCCCTCCCTTACTGGGCCTAATGCAAGAGCTTCCAAGCCCCAGAGCAGCCTTTACCCCATTCTGTATGCTGCGTGACCTGAGTCTGCCACTCCCTCCCTGAGCCAACCTTGCAGTTGAGTGGGGATTGAGAGGTGGGAGGATTTGCAGAGGTAGCAGGTGCTGGGCAGCCTCCTTTTCTATTGTACAAGTTTAGAAGTGACCTCCACAGCCCAGGCTCGGGGGTAGTAGGCCCGAGGGTGGTAGCCTCCATCTCCCAGGTCATTAGGGCTGGCTTCAGGAGAAGCCCCTCCCTTCCAGGGGCTGGCCCCCCATCTCACCCTTCCCTAGACCTAGGAGGGAGCCCAGGGCTTGGAAGGCCAGGTGTCAGGATACCAGCTTTGGAGCACACAGACTGGTGTGAAGCCAGGCATGACCAAGCTGGCCGAGCCTCAAGGTTCTTACTCTACAAGGAGGAGGATATCCTAGCTTTGGGCAGAGGATTAAGGGAGATTGTTGTGAAGCCCCTGGCCTAAGGCCTGGCTGTGACTGTCATCACACACATGGTGGCCGTTATCGGGCAGCTGGCCTCTGACAGCTCTTGAATACCACTAACTCCTCTTCTAGGGGAAAAGAGGCTGCACTTCAGAGGCAGAGACTCTGCAACCTCTGCCTGGAAGACCCATTCTGGCCTTCGAGGAAGGTCACAGCTGCAGAGTAAAAAACCAATTACATCAGAGTGGTAGGGCTGGGAACGTAGCTTAGTGGTAAAATACTTGCCTGGCATACATGAAGCCCTCAGTACCACATACACAGAAAAAGCCAGAAGTGGTGCTGTGGCTCAAGTGGCGGAGTGCTTCCCTTGAGCAAAAAGAAGCTCAGGGAGTCTAGGAAGGTGGCTTAATGGTAGAGTGCCTGCCTTACATGCATGAGGCCCTGGGTTCGATTCCTCAACACCACATAAGCAGAAAAAGCCGGAAGTGGTGCTGTGGCTCCAGTGGTAGAGCGCTGGCCTTGAGCTGAAGAGCTGAGGGACAGCGCCCAGGCCCAGAGTTCAGGCCCCACGACCGACAAAATAATAATAATAATAATAATATAAGCTCAGGGACCAATGCCCAGGGCCTGAGTTCAAGCCCAGAACCGCCCCGACCCCCCACCCAAAAAAATCGGTGTGGTAGTGCACACCTGTAATCCCAGCATTTGGGAGATGGCAGCAGGAGGATCATGAGTTCAAGGTCAGCCTGTGCTATATCCAGCTGGGGATGTAGCTCAGTGGTAGAGCATTTGCCTAGCCTGTGCAAGACCGTGGAGTACCAGGGAGGAATTTCTGGAGTGATGGAGAGATTCTATTCTCCTGCCCCCACAGGACCAAGCCGCCCCTACCTGCTTCAAACCTTTTTTATTTTTATTTTTTATGTTTTTCTTCTGTCTACTGGGGCTTGAACTCATGTCCTGGTCACTTTTTCACTCAAAGCTGGCACTCTACCACTTGAACCACAGCTCTACCTCTGGCTTTTGTTTTTGGGTCCAGTCGTGGGGCCTGAACTCTGGGCCTGGGCGCTGTCCCTCAGCTCTTCAGCTCAAGGCTAGCACTCTACCACTTGAGCCACAGCGCCACTTCTGGCTTTTTTTCTTTTTGCTCATGTGGTGCTGAGGAATCAAACCTAGGGCCTCAGGCATGCAAGGCAAGCACTCTACCACTGAGCCACCTTCCCAGCCCTTTGTTTTTACTGTTACTTAGAGAAAAGAGTCTCATGGACTTTTCTGCCTAGGCCTGCTTCGAACTGCAAGCCTCAGATCTCAGCCCTCTGAGTAGCTAGGATGACAGGCGCGAGCCGCCTGTGCCCAGCTTACATTCCTCTTTCTGAAGCCTGAGACCCACCTCCTGTCCCTGTTCTGGAATTTCTAACTCCCTTGGCTGACATGTCCAACCCCCATGCTTCCACACACCCTCCCCATAGCTCATCAGCTACACAAATGCCTGACACATAAAATATAGCCTGTGGCAAAATGACAAAGTGTATGGACAGTAAGGAGTGTGTAGGTGAGCGGGGGTGGGGGGGGGTGGGGGAGGGGAGGGAGCCTTAGCTGATCCAGACACAAAAAGACCAAAGCTATTTACAAAATAAAATCGCTTCTTTGTGAGTAGCGTCTTCTCCCTCCAGGACCTGTTCTGGCCTGAAAAATGTTCTTTTCTTTTCCACTCCCTCCATTCCTCTCTCCTTCTCTCCTCCCTTCTTCCCTCCATCCTGTCCTTCACAGGGCCTCCTGTGTGCTAGGCAGATACTCTGCCCTTTGAGGCACACCTGTAGCCCAGTCCTGGCCTTCTGAGTTCCCAATTCTGGACTTGGCTGAATTTCTTTCCTTATTTTCCCTTTTTCTTTTTTTGCCAGTCCTAGGGCTTTAACTCAGGGTACTGTCCCTGAGCCTGTCTGTGCTCAAGGCTAGCACTCTACCACTTGAACCACAGAGTCACTTCCAGCCTTTTCTGTATATGTGGTACTGAGGAATCCAACCCAGGGCTTCATGCAAGCTAGGCAAGCGCTCTACCACTAAGCCACAGTCCCAGGCTGAATCTCTTTGACGGACCACTTTCTCCCTGTTCTTCTTTCCCTTCTCTGAACCTTCCAGTCTGTTCCCATTGACTGGAGCATACCAATTGGCAGGGGGTAGAGTTTGGAGAGGAGGGGGGATTCCAGGTGAGGGGTCTTCCCTGTCTGCCTTGCCTGTCACAGGTCCCCGTGCTGGTGGGATCAAAGATTACCCAGACCTTGGAGTCACTCATCTAGCATCTCACAGTGCAGGGCAATATGGCTATGTGACTAATGTGGCTTGCCAGGCAATATTCTAAACACTTTATGTGAATTTATCTCACTTAATCATGGAGCACTCAGAACAAGCCTAGGACATCATTAATATTTCACATGTGAAAAAGATGAGAAAATGAGCTTCTTGCTGGGTTGGCACTCTACCTCCAGCCCAGTTTTTGATTGTTATTTTGGAGGTAGAGTCAAATTTTTCGGCCTGGGCTGGCTTTGAACTGTGATTCTCTGGATCTCAGCCTTGTGAGAAGCAAGAATTATAGGTGTTTCACTGGTGCCCAGCACATTGGTTATTATTATTTTTGTCAGTTGTGGGGCTTGAACTCAGAGCCTGAGAACTGTCCATGAACCTCTTTGTGCTCAAGGCTATGGTTCTACCACTTGAGCTACAGTACCACTTCCAGTTTTTGAGTAGTTAATTGGAGATAAGAGTCTTACAGAGACATTTCTGCCTGGGCTGGCTTTGAACCATGATCCTCAGATCTCAGCCTCCTGAATAGCTAGGATTACAGATGTAAGCCACTGGTGCCCAGCTATATTGGTTTTTCTTTTTTCTTTTTGTCAGTTATGGGGCTTGAACTCTGGGCTTGGGCACAGTCCCTGTGCTCTTCAGCTTAAGGTGGGCACTCTAGCACTTGAGCCACAGCACCACTTCTCGTTTTCTAGTGTTTATTGGAGATGAGTCTCACTGAGTTTCCTGCCTGGGCTGGCTTTGGACCGTGAGCCTCAGATCTCAGCCTCCTGAGTTGCTAGGATTACAAGCGTGAGCCACTGGTGCTCAGCTCAGTTTTTCTTATAGCATAAATATGGATAGGGATTTGGGATGTCAACAAGATTACTGCTCTCCAGGCTGGTTCTACTGCTAAGGCAAAAGACCATCAGCCTTTGCGTTGGCATCTCCTCTAGCCTGTTTTGCTTCTAGCCAGAACAGCATGGGGCATTTGTGCTGGGGGAAACAGGTCTAATTCAAGGACAGTTCTTCTGAGCTGGAGCCAGCAGCAGTCCCTGAATGCATGCCACCTTCCAGGCATGGAGCTAATCCACCTCCTGTAAGGGTTGGACCAATGAGAGAACTTGGCACCCCTCCTTCTAATGCAGCCTTGCTCCACCCCCCCCTCACTCCCCCTTTGTGTGCGCCTGGGTACTGTCCCTCAGCTGCTTTTGCTCAAGGATAGTGTTCCACTATTTGAGCCATAGCACCACTTCTGGCTCTTTCTGTTTATGTGGTACTGAGGAATTGAACCTAGGGTTTCATGCATGTTAGGCAAGCACTCTAGCACTAAGCTACATTCCCAGCCCCATCCTGTGTTTATTTATTGTTTTGATGGTACCAGGCTTTGAACTTCAAGCTGTATTCTTGCTTGTTAAGCACTCTACCACAGTCACACCCCCATTGCCAGTGGTGTGTGGGTTTCTACCTTTCAGGACATATTTACAAGTGGGAATAACAGGTGTAGAAGGAGCTTGATTGGGGTCCGCTGTAATGACAATGTTGGCATCCTGAGCTGAGATCTGAACAGTCTTCCCTCACCCTCTATTGCTAAGCCACAGACAGAACCAAGGTAGGCCACAGGAGATGCTCAGACCCTGGCAGTGGGGCTGATAGTTCCTTTCCTGCATCCACCCTAGTTCCAACTATCTGACAGAGCACCTAGAGAGACCTGTGGTTGTGGACTGCTGCCCTACCCCCACCCAGGGGAGCACTCACGAGTGGGCCCCGGGCCGGTCCTCCCTGGTGAGCACTCCCTCCTTTTCCATCAGCATCTGCCGGAAGGTCCCCACCTTCTGCTGGATCTCCTCCTCTGAGTACCTGCAGAGAACCAGGATTGTGAGGGCTTCTGTTCCTGCCCACAACCCCCTCCCTTCCTCCTAGCCCACTCCAAACCCCTCCCAGCACTGGCTCAAAGGCCCACACCCAGATTGTGATAACTTGGCTAATCCTCATTCCTGAGGACCCTCAAGGCCTGTCTTTTTTGTACCAATTCAATGAACCAAACAAACGAATACACAAACAGCCAGAAAATAAACAGCTTGGATGCAGAGGCAGGAGGATCTGGGGTCTCTAGATCCTCAAACAAAACAAAAACAAAATGAAGGCTGTGAAGCCTGGACACTGTTCTTAGTTGTTTTTTTTTTTTTTTTTTTCTGTTTTTGGCCAGTCATTGGGCTTGAACTCAAGGCCTAGGCACTGTCCCTGAGCTTCTTTATGCTCAAGGCTAGCACTCTACCACATCACCACTTCTGGCTTTTCCTGAGTTTATTGGAGATAAGAGTCTCATAGACTCTCCAGACCAGGCTGGCTTCAAACTGTGATCTTCAGATATCAGCTTCCTGATTAGCTAAGATTTCAGGCATGAGTCTCCACACCCAACCTTGTGTTAATTTTGGTTTTCCACAGCAGCCATGATTGCTGGATTGAGACCCCTACTTTCCTGAAGGCCTTTGCCTATCTCTGAGCCTCAGTGTCTTCCTGAGCTTTGGGAGCCCAGGAGTCGGGATGGACATATGCAGAGGTTATTCAGGACAACTGGGCGCAGGTTGTATTTCAAATCCTTAGGGCAGGTGCAAGAGAACCAGCAATCTCTAGTTTTCTCTGAAACTACATGAATGGGTTCTGCCTTGTTCTGTTTCTTTGTCTCCATTTTCCAGTGGTCTTGAAAAGAAGAAGAAATGTCCCTAAATCTCTACTCAGCTCCATCACACCTGCCCCACTCCCGACCCCAGCCGGCCCTACTCCCAGCCACAGCCAGATCCCGCCCCCAATCCGCCAGTTCCCTCCCTACACACGTCCGTACTGTACCTGCTCGGGGCCATAGCCCCACCCACATCCAACCGCGTCCAATCGAGGCTAGGCCACGCCTCCATTCGTAGTCAGGTCACGCCCCCGCAATCTGTGTGGCGCCAGGCTCCGCCCACTCACCCCTGCTCCTCCATCATCTCCTGCAGCTCCATGCACTTGAGCTCCACGCGCCGCTTGCGCTCGTGGTCCAGGATCTCGCGGTGCGCGCGCTTCGCCAGCCCCGGCTCGGCGGCGCGCAGCTCCTCGTCCGCGCGCGGCCAGGCCCCGGACGAGGCGCCGGGCTGCGGGAAGCCGTTGGCGGCGTCGGGCGGGGCGGGCATGCCGGCTGCCCCGTTGTTGACGGTGGAGGACATGGCCTGCGGGCGACACCGACGCTCTGGTTCACCTCCCGCCCCGCCGGCTGAACGCCGCTCGCCCCCGGTTAATCTCGGGGATTTGAGGCCGGAGTCGGCGCTAATCCGCCGCAGAGCCGGGCACGCCGTTGGCCCTGGGCACACCCAGGTGCGGAGGCCGTGGCCTGCCTGGCCTGCGAGGGGGTGGCTGCACCGGGGTGCCCCGAAGGCCCGGCCGGCCCCGCCGCCGCAGCCCGTGCTGCGGGAACCCCATGACAGAGCTGTTATGGCCTTCAGGCTCACTCCCACCCCAGCCTACTGACCTGCCTGGTCCAAGGGGTCACGGGTGCTTTTGCCTCTTGATCAACACCGGGCAACCCTTCTCCACCCCAGGGTGGTTTCCATTCCCATTGCGATCTGGATGGCTTCTCCAAAAGCCCAAGTTACGGTGGGTCTGACCTAGATTAAAGCCCGCAGGACTGTGCCCTCCTTAGTTCAGGAAATACTGCTTTTCATGATAGGACCAAAGCGGGCACTGACACTCTTCAGGTGACCAGGCCCCACTGCGGGCTGGGAGATGGAGTAGGAGTCAGCATAGCTTGTAGGAAAAAATGCCCTGCCTCTGGGTTAGGCCCTAAGTAGAGCAGACTGACAGATGGACAGACAGATAGATACACACGTGCACAGCACACACACGTGCACACCAAAGACCTCTAAACAGAAGGAGATGCCTCTTGAGCTATTTCTATTCCTTTCTCCAAGGCTCTGTTAGTTGCTAAGCAACAGGAAGGCCTCCTTCCCAGGGAGTGGGCTGGGAGGGCCAGGAAGGGAGGAAGAGAAGGGATGGGGCTTGTCTGGACTGGGTAACACTAGCCAGACAACACTCCCCACCCCCATGCCCTTCCCTCTCTGGCTTCAGAGTGTTGGGATTGGGGGCACTTGAAACCACAAACTGAAAGGCAAGAAAAGGCTGAGAGACACAAGAGGTTTGGGAGATGACAGAGTGGCAGTGATAATGGGGACATAAGCTCCTTGCATGTATTCTTTCCATGAGTTCCAGGCCAGGCCACTCCATGCCTAGCTGTGTGTCCCTGAGGATAGCTGTGCCCCTCTCTGAATGTCTGGTGCACCATCCTGACTCCCCAGGAGAGGTGAACTCACATGGGAAACTCTTATGCCAAAGCTGCTGGCCTAAATCCAGTCTCTCCACCTCCAAAGCCTTCTGTCTTCCTGCCTCTGTCCCTAGACTAGCCCTGTATTCCTCTTCTGCCAGAGCTCCTCCTGAGATACTTAACAGGCATTGCTCACTCACAGTGCCTCAGGCTTGGTGAGCGGTTTGCTACTCTATTGGGGTCATGGCCTGGCTGGTGGGAAACCCCTCAGTCTGTTGGTCACCTGAGTCAGGCAGGTGTGGAGTATGGAGACTCTCAACGCTAGCCCTAGGTAGCTCACTTGTCAAGTTTGATTGCTAAACTTGATGTGGTGGTAGCCACCTGTAATCTCAGCACTCTGGAGAAACACAGCCAAGAGGATCAGAGTTAAGTTCTGCCTGAGCTACATCTTCCGCTTCCCTGGCATCTAGGCCATCCAGTTGTTGGTTGCCCCCTCTCTGGGATGCTCTTGACCTGGTTGTCTTCCAAGTCCTGGCTCATAAGCATCACCTTCTAGAGGCTTTCCTTCACCCTTCTGGCTGGTGCCATCTCCCAGATCATCTTCCTTTAGTTTTAAGATAAGAGCTTGCTTTTCTTTTGGTGGGGGGAGGGGTTGTGGCATGACTTTAGGCCTTGACCCTTCTAAGTGGCTAGGATTATCATTATAAGTGTGCACCACTATTCTTGGCTGATAGATGGATCTATATTCACAAGGTTTATTAACAGGTAATCTAGATGGAAAGCCACAGTACTCCAGCCTCACCCATCCCAGACCCAGTATGGATCCAGTAGCCTGAAGGTCAGAGTCACAAGAACACATCAGAGGCTTATGGACAATAGAGTCCGAATCTATAAGAGTTCAACAGATGGGAAAAAAATGGAAAGACTACGATGGTGGGAAGGACAGAAAGAAATACCACATGCTGAAGCTTCTTCCCAAAACTAATGCTCTAAATTTGGGATGGTGGAGACATAATTTAGAAGTGGTCTATTTAGGAAGGATTTAGGGATTTTCAAAGACTTGGTTTGAGTCAATGCCATGGTGTGGGTGCCTTCAGTTACGTCAACAGAAGCAGGATGCCCGGAGGAGAGCTTAAACCATACAGGATGCTCAGAATCCCTCTCATCTGAAGGACTGAGAAAGGGTTCGGATTACACCTGCTTGAGACTTATGCTGAGAACTTCATTAAGCATAGAGATCTCTGACTGGGCGTGGTGATGCATGCCTGTAATCCTAGTGACTCAGGAAACAGGTGGCATATCTTTTATTCAAAAGGATGGGGGAGGTTTGAAGCCAGCCTGGGCAAAAGTAGGTAAGACCCCATCTCAACCAACAAGCTGGGGGGGTGGTATGTGTCTGTAATCCCAGCTATGGGGGAGAAGGAGGTAGGAGTTTACTCTTCTTTCTGCGGGCCTCTGAAGTGTCCTTTCCCTCCCTGGCTACGCCTCGGGGTCCAGCACCACGGACAGCTCCCCTCGCCGCCAAGCCTTCACCGCTTCTCTTGGCCACGGCTCTGGGTTTCAGAACCACGGACAGTACCCAGCTTCCCCAAGCCCAGGGACTTTTTTCTTTTCTTTCCTTTTTTGGTCCGGTCGTGGGGCCTGAACTCTGGGCCTGGGCGCTGTCCCTCAGCTCTTCAGCTCAAGGCTAGCGCTCTACCACTTGAGCCATAGCGCCACTTCTGGCTTTTTTCTTTTTGCTTATGTGGTGCTGGGGAATCGAACCCAAGGCCTCAGGCATGCAAGGCAAGCGCTCTACCACTGAGCCACCTTCCCAGCCCCCCCCCCCCACTCTTAAAGGATAAGAAGCCTTAGGCAAGAAGTACTGGACAGAGAGAAGACCCATGTGAATTTCAGCTCCCCCACTTCTGCCCAGTGTGTCCGTTTTCCCGTCTGTAAAATGGAGATGGCCAAGTGGGACTACTTATTCTTCACTATTTTAGCCACAAGCTGGAGATGGTGACGGGTCCTATACTGCTCTATCCACGCTCCTGCCCCATGCTGCAGGACAAAGGAGGGTACCTGCCTTTGCCTGGGCTGGCAGGAGAGGTCTTACAAGGGGAATTGTGTTTGAATGATGAATCTTCCCCAGGTAAAGCATGAAGTCCAGAAGCAGAGCTGCTCAGGCTAAGCCCCAGGGTGTAGTAATCTCTGGAGGGAGAGTATGAGATGCTCTTCCCCATCCCCTCAGGACTGGGTTTGAACTCAGGGTCTTGTACTTGTTAGAAAAGGGCTCTGCCATTTTAGCTATACCTCTAGCTCTCTTTGCATCTCTGTGTGGGAGTGCATGTGACACACGCACGTGCACAAGTGCACTATGCAGGCGTATGTCCTGCTTTTTGCCTGGGGGTAGCCTCAGACTGTGCTCCTCCAATTCTTTTTCCTCTCGAATAGCTGGGGCTGGCTACAGATGTGCACCACCATGCCAGGCCAGGAGGAAGGCTTCAGGTTGGAAGCTGGGACCATGGACATTGGATGAGACCCTTGTAATGGCAGAGAGAGAGAGAGAGAGAGAGAGAGAGAGAGAGAGAGAGAGAGAGAGAGAGGTGGGGGAGGGAGAGAGAGGGAGAGTGCATGAGTACAGACACTCAGCCTACTGAATTTCCTGGAGAGAAAATATTCTTTGTACCTGTCAGGAACGTGACAGAACTGACAAACACAATACAACCGGGTACTTAGGTGTGAAAGGGAATCTGGGTCTTGTAAAAACAAAAAACCCAAGTCTGCAGTGACAGTGGTTTGTCACGATAGTATATCAGACTGGAAAAGGAGAACTATCTCCACCGAGGCCAAGGAATGTGGGCGAGTTCCCTATGCCCAGTCCTTGGCATGGAGGCCAGGCTATGCCAAGACATGGTCATGTTCTCTGAGGGATGCCCCTGCCCACACCCTCTGCCAGCCTGTGAGAGGGAGTGGGCCCAGCCAAAGCCATGTGACTGGAGCCAGGGCACATTGGCCTTCCCTACATCCCCAGCCAAGAGTCAGAGGCACAGCACCTGGAGATGGCCCGTGAGCTCAAGGCTGAGGCTGACACTCAAGACACGCCTGTACCTCAAGTGAATGAAAGATGCAGGGGAGAGGCACTGATGCTTAAAATTCCAGACTGGGGACATGTGACGGACACTTTAGACTGAGCTGGGATGAGTGAGGAGGAGCAAGCTGGTGGGTCTTCTGGAGCTTGAACTCAGGGTCTTTTACTCTTGCTTGGCTTTTTTTTTTTTCCAGACTGGTACCTTACCACTTGATCCACACCTCCAATTCTGGCTTTTTGGTGGCTATTTGGAGATAACAGTCTCAGACTTTCTTGCCCGGGTTGGCTTTCAACCTTGAACTCAGAGCTCAGCCTCCCCGAATAGCTAGGATGACAGATGTGAGCCATGGGTGCCCAGTTTAGAGGAGAGATTTTTGAGTCAGAGTAAGTGTTGGCAGGACAAAGAAGGAAGAGGAGACATTTTGGCAGAGGGGGCGGGATGTGAGAGGCAAGATGGCAGCATGGTTGTAGGGCAGCTGAGCTCAGGGCCAGCCAGGAGGGGAGGCAGGCACGAGGTGTTCAGAGCCAGTCCATCCCCAGCAGACAAGAGGGAGGGAGCCAAGGAGGGTGTTGAGCCAGGGAGGTCATGAGTCTGGTGCCCTTGCCTTGGGTGGCTCCTGCCCTGTGGAAAGAGGTCAGATCTCATATAAAGCAAAGTCCACAGCAGCGAAGACAGCTCTGTGCACATCAAGCAGCCAAAGAGCCAGCCCCACCTCCCGAGGGCCATAACACCACCTAGGTGCTCTGACTTTACCCCTCAGTTTCCTCATCTGCACAATGGGTTGCTCCCTAAGCAGTGAATATACATACAATGCAGTGTCCCGGCACAAAATATACCC